CTGTAATCCCAGCTACTCAGGAGGCTGAGGCAGGAGAATTGCCTGAACCCAGGAGGCGGAGGTTGCGGTGAGCCGAGAACGCGCCATTGCACTCCAGCCTGGGTAACAAGAGCAAAACTCCGACTCAAAAAAAAAAAAAAAAGAGATTCTCCTGCCTCAGCTTTCTGAGTAGCAGGGATTACAAGTACACACCACCATGCCTGGCTAATTTTTGTATGTTTAGTAGCAATGGGGTTTCACCATGTTGGCCAGGCTGGTGTTGAACCTCCCAACCTCAGGTGATCTGCCCACCTCGGTCTCCCAAAGTGCTGGGATTACAAGTGTGAGCCACAGTGCCTGGCCAGAGTTCATATTCTTTCTATAGGTTTAAAATTTGTTAACATAAAATATTGGGAGAAAATTAATTTTTTTAAATGTAAAAATTTGTAAATCTGAAAGTCTTTTGGCTGAATTATTGCTGGGTGCTAGGAAGCAGCTGTTTCTCCAGTTTAGTGAGGGACAGCTTCAGGTCTCAGCTTGCCAAAGGCCTGAGTATCCCTGCACAGGGCTTTTTGAGTTTCTGCACCTCAGTAGGCTAAAGAAATATTTCCTGAGTGGGCCCCAGGCATTTTCCATCATGATCTCACCAGTCTCACCAGAACCTCCCATGAGATTTTTTTTTTTTTTTTTTTTTGGGTGAGACAGGGTCTTTCCCTGTCGCCCAGGCTAGAGTGCAGTGGTGCAAGCATAGCTCACTACAGCCTCAAACTCCTGGCCTCAAGAGATCCTCCCACCTCAGTCTCCCAAAGTGCTAAGATTACAGGTGTGAGCCACCTCACCTAGCCTGTGATAAGTTTTATTTATTTTTCTGAGACAGAGCCTCACTCTATTGCCCAGACTGGAGTGCAGTGGGTGATCTCAGCTCACCACAACCTCTGCCTCCTGGGTTTAAGTCATCCTCCTGCCTTAGCCTCCTGAGTAGCTGGAAGTAGCGTGCCACCACGCCCAGCTAATTTTTGTATTTTTAGTAGAGACGGGGTTTCACCATGTTGGCCAGGCTGGTCTTGAACTCCTGACCCCCAGTGATCCGCCCACCTTGGCCTCCCTAAGTGCTGCGATCACAGGCGTGAGCCACCATGCCCAGCCCTCAGTTTTTTGATTCCCATTTAAAGATGTGGAAACTGGGGTCAGGTACCTTGCCAGTGGCTGTATAGCTGGACCAGAATCCAGGCTATCTGACTGTCATGCCTGGGCCCCTAACCAGGCCCTAGAATTCCACAGACACCCTCCAATCCCCATTCCCAGCCACACAGTGACCCCCAGTCTCTTTCAAGTACTTTCCCCCAGCTTTAGGGCCCGCCATAAGCCTCGGAGCATAGCCATCGGCCGCCCAGGCCTGCCCTGATCCTAGGGTACACTCCTTCCCTCCTTCCCATCCAGTCCAGCCGAGGCCTGGGTCCTGCTAAGTCTTGGACATCCCAGCTAAGAACAAGTGAAACCCCTCCCAGACCTTCCCCTGCTGCCTCTTCATCAGCCTCACCTGGGTGGGCAGCCCAGCACTGGATACCCATGTTGTGCCCTTCGGATCCACTTCCCCCTTCTCCACCCTTCTCTGTGCCAAGACTGGCCACAACAACCTGCAGTTACTGAGTTCTTTTTTTTTTTTTGAGACAGAGTTTCACTCTTGTTGCCCAGGTTGGAGTGCAGTGGTGTGATCTCGGCTCACTGCAACCTGTGCCTCCTGGGTTCAAGCAATTCTCCTGCCTCAGCCTTTCAAGTAGCTGGGATTACAAGCGCCCACCATCATGCTTAGCTAATTTTTCTATGTTTAGTAGAGATGTTTACCATGTTGGCCAGGCTGGTCTCGAACCCCTGACCTCAAGTGATCCACCTGCCTTGGCCTCCCAAAGTGCTGGAATTACAGGCGTGAGCCACCGTGTCTAGCTAGCTGCTGAATTCTTGGGGCCTCTGGCTGCCCTTTGAATTTGTACAAAGGGAGACAGGAGATGAGAGGGAGTGAGATGGAGGAATTTATTTCCTAGGCTGCCTTTCAGCTCAGCCACAGTCAAGTTCTACCAAAAGCTAGAGCTCCTGTCAGGTAGCATCACCACCTCTTCCAGCCTGGGTGGCCTGGGGGCCTAACAGCTCCTCTCTGCTGCCAGGGCTCTGGGGCACCACCATTCACTGGCGTGTTCCCTTAGCACTGTACATGCTTCTGTAAACTGTCCCTTCATTAGTAAAGTCTCTTCATTTACCCCATTTGAGTGTCACCTGATTCCTGAAAATACAGAGAAGACAACCTGGTCTTTAACTGTGACACCCCCACTCTTCCCTCCATTCCTAATCCCCCATCTTCTGAACCTCAGGAGGACAGATCCAGGCAGGGAGGCTAGCAGCTTACAAAGTTGTCTTTATTGGTTTCTTGTTGTCTGACAGAGCATCAGGGTCTGTCCCTCCTGGGAATGTGGCATTTGAGGAGATAAATATTTCTTTTGCCCCCACCCTTCAGTGGGGGGAGGTTTAATAAAAATAGCAATATAATAACAATAATAATGACTGTGATCAATAATAAAATGCCCCCTAGGTTCCCCTAATACACAATTGGTTGAAGCTTCAAGAAAAAGGACCCTTCTTTCTGGGAAGGGCCAGAGTGTGCCCAGGGACCCTCCAGTGGCCCTCACTGGGTGCCCATCTCCCACCAAGAAGCCCTTATAAATACCCTCTCCATCCCCTCCCTGTCCAGGATTCTCTTCCCTGCTGGGAGGACTGGCTGACAGTGTCAGCCCCGCCCACTGCACCCCTCTCCAGAGAAAGGACCCTTTGTTCTCCCAGCTCCCTCTCTCCACCCCTCTCCTTTTGTCTCCTTCCTCTTGTTCATCGCTCTCCTTCATCCCTCTCCCCTCCTCCTCTGCATGGCTTCTACCTCTTTCTAATTCCTCTCACCTCCTCCTCCACTTCCTTCCTCCCTTGCCTGTCTCTCACCTCCTTCACCTACATCCTTTTCCTCCTCCTCTATCCTCCCTCTGGATCAGAGCCTGTTTTTCTCACCCAGATGCTGAGCAGAGACCGAGACATGCCCCATCTTGGCCTCAGCCGGGAGCCAGACAGTCCACAGATAAGACCCCAACCTGTTCCCAGAGACCCATTGCCTCTCCATCCCTCATCCCGACTCTTTTTTTTTTTTTTTCGAGACGGAGTTTCGCTCGTTACCCAGGCTGGAGTGCAATGGCGCGATCTCGGCTCACCGCAACCTCCGCCTCCTGGGTTCAGGCAATTCTCCTGCCTCAGCCTCCTGAGCAGCTGGGACTACAGGCACGTGCCACCATGCCCAGCTAATTTTTTGTATTTTTAGTAGAGACGGGGTTTCACCATGTTGACCAGGATGGTCTCGATCTCTTGACCTCGTGATCCACCCACCTCGGCCTCCCAAAGTGCTGGGATTACAGGCTTGAGCCACCGCGCCCGGCCATCCATCCCTCATCCCGACTCTTAAAGCCTCCGGGCGCTTGGCACTAGAAATAAGAGCTTTGGCACAATCACCCCGATCACCAGGACAAAAGGGGCCATTCTATTCCCAATGGCTAGCAAAGGCTGGGGCTGGGAACAAAGGGGTAAGGTGGGATGAGGGCTGGGAGTCAGGACCCCCAAGTCCTGGGAACCCAGGCAAGCCTCCCAGTCATTGCCCAGCCCAGGCCCTCCCTGAGTCTGAATTTCCATGTCCCGGACCAGCCGGAGTATGGCATTCCTCAAGCTCTTCGCTCCCAAGTGTCTTTCTGCCCTGGGATTGGGGTGGGTCTTAACAGAGGGCATCAAGGAGAGGTCTCCGATTCAGGGGATAGGGGTAGGCTTCGGGGCCATTCTGAGACCTGCAGGAGAAAGAAAAGGAAGTTGGGTGGGGGGAGAAGGATCAGGGAGGACTCTTTCCTCACAGGGCCAGTGCCTCCCAGAGGCCCCCTTAGGCCCATCACCTACTGTATCACGGCCCCTGGAGGAAGCCAGATGTGAGGTGGGGTGTGGGGGTGGTACATGGGTTACTGGAAGGACCTGGAGAACTCCTACTTAACCTTGAATGGACTTTAAGTCCCTATTTTTTTGTTTTTCTGAGACAGAGTCTTGCTCTGTCGCCCAGGCTGGAGTACAGTTGCGGCATGATCTCGGCTCACTGCAACCTCTGCCTCCCAGGTTCAAGTGAACCTGCCTCAGCCTCCCAAGTAGCTGGGATTACATGCATTCGCCATCATACCTGGCTAATCTTTGTATTATTTTTTGGAGACAGAGTCTCACTCTGTTGCCCAGGCAGGAGTGCAGTGGCATGATCTCGGCTCACTGCAACCTCCACCTCCCAGGTTCAAGCAATTATCCTGCCTTAGCCCCCCAAGTAGCTGGGATTACAGGCATGTACCACCAGGCTCAGCTAATTTTTGTATTTTTAATAGAGACAGGGTTTCACCATGTTGGTCAGGCTGGTCTCAAACTCCTGACCTCAAGTGATCCACCCACCTCTGCCTCCCAAAGTGCTGTGATGACAGGGGTGAGCCACCACACCCGGCCTCAAAGTCCCTTTGTTCATTCACTCCATTCTTCATTCAGTCAACACACATGCTTCACTCTGGGCAGAAGAACGAAGCCTGACCCCCACCACCAAGGAGCCCACAGTCAAGGGAAGAGGACAAGCACCAGAAGAAACCCATGGCACAGCAGGAGCTGCAAGGAAGGTGTGGAGGGAGTGGGGTGGTGAAGGCGGCACCAGCCCCAGGAAGGCAATGACCACCTGACCAAGAGCCCAGGAAGGCTCCTTTGAAGATGATCCTAGTGGGTCACCTGGAGGGCAGTCTGGTATTGTCAAAGTGAAGACAGGGAAAGGGATACAAAACAGAGGGGACTGCAGGGGAAAGTGACCTGAAGATGTGAAAGAACATGGCAAGCCCCAGGGCTCCCAGTGGCCTGGTGTGTCGGGAGTGGGTGGATGTGTGTGCAGGAGACGTGGCTGGAGGGTGAATGTGAACCCAGCTTCTCTTAGGTTTTCCCCTGTCCTCATTCGGAATGGACTGCTCCCTCCTCTGACTCCCCAACTCTCTACTCTGGACTGGGCCTCTGTTAGGAATCCCAAGAGTGGCTGGGCGCGGTGGCTCATGCCTGTAATCCCAGCACTTTGGGAGGCTGAGGCAGGTGGCTCACTTGAGGTTATAAGTTTGAGACCAGCACGGTAAAACCCCATCTCTACTTAAAATACAAAAATTAGCCAGGCGTGGCGACACACGCCTATAATCCCAGCTACTCAGGAGTCTGAGGTGGGAGAATTGCTTGAACCTGGGAGGTGGGGGTTGCAGTGACCGAAACTGTGCCACTGCACTCCAGCCTGGGTGACACAGTGAGACTCCGTCTAAAAAAAAAAAAATAAAATAAATCGCAAGAGCTCTCCTTCTATGGCACCCTTCACCACGCCAGGCACTGTGCTGAGCCCTTGGCAGGTATCATCAGCTCATGCAGGCCTCCCAGAAACCATGTCATTTCACAGATGAGACAAGATGAGGGAGGTTGGGCACTTTGCCCAGGGCCACACAGCTGGAACAGTCAGAGCCAAGATTCCCACCGAGGCCGGCCTGCCTCCATGCCCCTGTTGGTGCCCACTGGTGGGGTGAGACAGGTAAGAATCTGCATCTTGTAGAATCGAGGGCAGGGATGGGCTCAGCTTGTTCCCTAGCCTGAGTCCCTGTGCAGGGCCTAGCACAGAACTGAACTGTCTGACGTTAGAATAGGGGACGGACAAGCCTCCTGGACGGGCTCACCTGCATTAGGGAGGCTGCAGGGCTCAGCGATCCCTGGGGGCAGGACACAGACTCGCTGGACAGGGATGTCCAAGCTTTCCTCTTCACTGCTCCAGCAGCAGACAAGGGGACAAAAATACCAAGATCAGATTTGATGGATCCAAAGTGGGTGGAAACTTGGGGTGAGGGGTGGCAGACTGGAGGCTGAGGGGCTGCCCTTACTGGGGTCTGCGTCTCCAGCGAGGCCTTCGCTGCCCGTGGAGGCTGGGCGCCGCAATGCCTCGGAGAAGCTGTGGGGTCGTTGTGGGCCGGAGCTGCGGGCGCCTCGGCCCTTCTCTTCCGGAGCCTGTTGGGTGACAGTGTGGAGGAGCTGGGACCAGGAGGCACAAGGAGGCCAGGAGGCCCAAGGCACAACAGACCACGACAAATGAACACCACTAGGCACGCAGCCTGGATGTGCTGAAGTCCCAAATAGCAGAAGGGTGAGTCCCAGGCCTCAGGGGCCCAGCCCAGATAATTATGGAGGCCTGTGATTGGCTAGAGCTCACCACAGAGGCCGGTGATTGGCTCAGCCTCACCAGAGTGGCTTGTGATTGGCTCCGGAGGACTCACCCGGGGTGTGACCCTGGCGCCCGGCCGCCCGTTGGCAGGGCCCACGTGTACCAGGTGGTTGAAGTTGGTGGGCGGCGAGATGAGCTTGGAGCGCACAAAGGGGTCCTTCAGCATCTCCCTACGGGCGGAGAGGGTGTATGCAGCGGGCGGCGAAGCTCTGCCCTCACTCGAGCAGGACAGCCCTTCGCCCCGCCTAGTCGCAGCCCCCGCATCGCGCACGCGCACCTGCGCTGCTGCTTCTGCTGCTCTTCTGACACGCGGAAGAAGAAGCGGCGCTTGCTCTTGGTGCGGAACAGCTGGCGCCGGCTGTTGTTGGTGAGGTCTGGGATGTCGAACTCGTCCTTCTCTGTGGGAGAAGCAGAGAGCTGGGCTGTGCTCACACGTCTCTGGGGCCCAGTCAGCTGGCATTCAGGGCCACACAACCACATGTGTGCACCAGTGAACGTACACACGTGTACACGCGCACTCCCTCACCTGCCAGCTGGTTCCTGAGGTAGGTCAGGCGGACCTTCTCGGTGCCGTAGAGGAACAGGGAGCCCTCTGGATTGAGGGGCCGCACCTGGGGCAGCAGGCACAGAGGTCAGGCCACGCTGCCATCCCCCAGCGCTGCCCCCGGGCTCTGGTGGACCCTCACCTTCTTGAGCGGCACCGTCTGCACCCATTCTGCCCTCCTCACGTCAAACACATCGATGGAGTTCTCGCTGAACACTGTCAGGTAGGGGGCTGCGTACCCTGCGGGCACGCCAGGCACCGCTGAGCTCTTTCCCCCTCTATTCCACAGGGAACACCTTGTCTCCTGCCACAGCACAGTGATTGCCATGCCCCAGCTAAGGTCCTTCCTCTGAAGACTCTCTGTCGCCCGTTCAATTCAAATACTCCTGGACCACTCACCACATGCCTGGCTAGGTGCTAAATGACCATGCTTTTCCTCCCTTAATTCCCTCACAACTCTGAGCAGGTACTATGGTTATAACCCCTAATTTCCAGATGAGGGAATGGAACCCCTGGAACCATGTAATGGTCAAGGTCACCCAGCTGGGATTTGGCCCTGGGCAGCTTGGGTGGTATGTAGCACCCAACCTGCAGGCCCCACCCCAAAGAGCCATTGCTCACAAACGATGCTCTGCCCCTCTCTTCAGCCCTCACTCTCATCATGCTAGTTACCTGTGCATGCACCAGACTGCCCCACCGCCCCCATTCATTCATTCACTCTTCCATTCATTCCTCCAAACCCATTGCCCCTGGAGTGTCCCAGCTTGGGCTGGGTGCTTGATATGGATGAGGAAATCGGCCCCAGTCCATTCTGTGGGACCCCAGTGCACCAAGCCAGTCATTAAATGGCACAGGTCTGGACGGAGAGGTAAGGGGCAAAGAGAAGGAAAAAGCCGATGACGGGGAGGCGGGGTGGGGAGCATGAAGGCAGTGGTGACCACAGCAACTGCAGCGGTCATCTTTGGCATTCCTGTCAGCTCCAGGCCTTCAGCTGACACTGGGGCTGGATCTAGTTGAGTTTGCTGGGTGCAGGCTGGGGCCAGTGGCTCACACCTGTAATCCAGCATTTTGGGATGCCGAGGCAGGAGGATTGCCCGAGTCCAGGAGTTTGGGACCAGCCTGGGCAATATGGCAAAACCCTGTTGCTACAAAAAATACAAAAATTAGCCAGGCATGGTGGTACACACCTGTGGCCCCAGCTACTTGGGAGGGTGAGGTGAGAGGATCTCTTGAGCCCAGGAGATGGAGGTGGCAATGAGTTGAGATTGTGCCACTACTCCAGCCTGGTGACAGAGGGAGACCCTGTCTCAAAAGAAAAAAAAAAATGTTTGCTGGGTACCCGGGAGAGGAGCATGAGTTCAGCCATGGAAAAGGAAGGTCCCCTGCAAGCCACAGAGGGTGGGACAGGGTGTTGCTGGGCTGGAGGATGAAAAATGGCACCAAAGGCCTCCAATGCCAGGCTCAAGAGTTGAGGTGGGACCCTGTCTTCACCCACACACTGAAGGTGTCTGGCCCCCCTGCCAAGCTCTCCACAGGCCTTACCCCAGCCCGTGGGTGCTGCTGGCCACAGCAGCTCGTGGCCACGAGACTTGCGGCCCGCGCTATCCACGTAGATGCCGGCAGTGGTGAAGAGCAGCAGGAACTCACTGAGGCTGAGCTCCACAGCCCCCAGTGCCTCACCCAGGCCCCCGCGGGACAGTGGCAGCTCCTCAGGCACCAAACCGGCCCCCAGCACCAATGGCGCAGCCTCATTGAGCAGTGGGTAGAGGGCAAAGCCACCGGTGGTGCCCACACATAGCCGGTCACCCAGCAGCCCCAGGCTCTGCACAGGGGCAGGTGCCTGCAGCTCACGGATGCGGCGCTGCCAGGGCCCAGGGCCTGGGCCCAGCTGGTAGCAGAGCACCTGGCGCTTGACGGCTACACAGAGCACTGGGGTGCGGGCCTGTAGGATGCTCCCAGCTGCTAGCACCTGGCAACCTCGAGACTCGGGGATCTTGGCACCTGCTACCTCTACGTTCTCCAGCTCCGCCAGGGCAAAGAGACGCACGTTGGGGCCACGGCCACACAGCACGACCAGCAGGCCAGCGCTGGGGCTCAAGGCCAGCTGCTGTACGCGCCGGCACTCTCCCACCTGGAAGATGTCTGCAGGGTTGGTGAGGGGAGAGTGTCACTGCAGGTGGTTGAAGAGTGACCCATCCCCATCCTCCTCTGCCTGTTGGGGCTGCCTCTGCCCATGCCCACCCTGGCCCAGCTTTGACGGGTACCGTTGCTGTGCAGATGGATGACAAAGAGCCCCTCATCAGTGCCAAGAGCGAGTCGATCCTGGTCTGGTAGAGGGAGGGAGAGGGTCAGGGGTCAGAAGGCCCGCTCAATGACAGGGAGACTGGGCAGTCTACCTGCCTTGCTGTGCCATAGTTTCTCTTGAGGAAATGGGGGTGGCGATCATCCCACTGTCCCTGCCTCACTGACCCTTCTCTCCCAGAATTGGACAGGCTTTTCTGGAGGAGTTGGGGTGAGGCCCATCACCTTGAGCAGTAGAATTTCAGGTAAGTCACGTCACCTCTCAGAACCTTGGTTTCCCCTTATGTAAACTGGGATGATGGTACCTTTCTCACAGAGCAGCTCTTAGGAAGCGAGGAAGTGATGCACCGGGGGCTCAGCAGAGCCCCTTGCTCAATAAATCCCCTCTCCTCTGGCTCCCGACTGCTCCAGGGATCCACACAGCCTCTCCTGTGGCTCCCATCCTGAGAGCAGGGGCTGGCTCAGGGCCTCAGCTGCTCAGGGAGGCCAAGGAGCTCTGCTTCATGCCTTTCCCAGCCTCAGTTACAGACGAGCCCTGCTGAGTCCCAGGTTCAAGGCTGAGTACAAGTGAAGCTCATGGCAGCTCCACCCAGGAGATGTTATGAGGCTCTGAGTGGTTCCACAATGGCCCCCCAGACCCCCAGCTTGCAGGGAGACAGCCAGGACTGAACCCTCGTTTGTCTCTTTCTAAAGTCTTTGTTCCAGCTGGGCGTGGTGGCTCATACCTGTAAACTCAGCCACTTTGAGAGGCCGAGGTAGACAGATCACCTGAGGTCAGGAGTTCACAACCAGCCTGCCCAACATGGTGAAACCCTGTCTATGTGCTCCAGCCTCCTGTGTGCACAGCTTTAACAAAGTAGCCAGGCGAGGTGGTGCATGACTGTAATCCCAGCTACTCTGGAGGCTGAGACAGGAGAATCACTTGAATCCGGGGAGGTGGAGTTTGCAGTGAGCTGAGATTGCACCACTGCAGTCCAGCCTGGGTGACAGAGCAAAACTTTTGTCTCAAAAAAAAAAAAGCCTTTGTTCCTTTCACTCATTTGATTCTTTTGGAAAAAGCAGAAACTGAGGCACAGCAAAACAGAGTGGGAATAAGCCAGGCCCCCTACCTGGTGGCCCAGGGCTTTTCACACAGCCGTGCACACAGGAGTCTGGAGCGCATACATGGTGCAAGCCAGTCTGTCTCGTGGCTGCAGGGAATGGGCAGTGACAGGGCCCGGCCCTTGGGACTAATCCTAGACAGCAGCACTCCTGCAGGCCTGGACTGCTCCCTCCAGCCGCCCCCCAGCTCACCAAGGATGGCAGCGCAGAGTGTGTGGGGCAGCAGCGGCAGCCCGTTGTCGTAGGCCTCCTTGAGTGTGTACACGGGCCGCGGTCTCGGGCGCGCATCCAACAGCAGCCGCTGCAGCTCACCCAGCACCTGCAGCCAGCGCTCCCGCTCCCCCTCGCTCTCCGCCAGCAGCAGCACAGTGCACGTGGTGGGCGGCACTGCCAGCTGCGAGGTCGTCACCTGTGGGCAGGGACCCAGGCTGGAGGGCTGTGGGCCATCTGTCCTTCCTCCCTTCCTGCCTCCAGCAGCTGCTGTGCCCAGGGTGCCTCACATACACTCAGCAGCAGGGAACAGGCCAGAAAGGCATATAGACAACTCCAGAACCCTGAGACCAGCGCCCTAATGGGGTGAGGATGAGCCTGGTGGGAACGTAGACGAGGCTCCCAAACCCAGTCCAGGAGATGAAGGCTGACTTCCCAGGGGACTAGACATTTCTGCTGGAGCCTGAGGGATGAGCCACTGACCAGAAGTAGTCAAGGTAAGTGAGGGGTATGCACCAGCATGGGGCGGGCAATTACATGCAAAGAGACAGACATGAAGGACAGAGAACGTGGTGCCCACAGACACAGGGAGCCCTCGGAACTGGAGAAAGCAAGGTGTGGCCAGAGCAGAGAGCAGTGCCAGGGAGGGGGTTGGGGAGGCCTGCGGGGTTGGATCCTCGGGGCCTCAAGGGCTGGGGCAGGAGAACTCCTCGGACGATGGGAAGCCACAGCAGATCCTAAATGAGGCGGGACCCAGCTAGGTGCTCATATGGAAAGCGTGTTATAGCCGTGGCTGGCCTAGGAGGGCGTGTGGAGTGGGGAACAGTGTCCAGAGCGGGGACGGCATGGGGACGTGGATGGTGGCTGGTCCATCTCACCCCAGGCACTCACCCTAAAGATGCGTGGCAGGTCCCTGGATTGGGCATGGATGACATCAGAGGCCAGGACGGGAGTGGCCGAGAAGTGGGGATCCCTGGGAGGTTCACAGAACAGGTCAGAGGTCTCCCTGTCCCTGGCCGCCCCCTTCTACCGCTAGTCCCTTGCCCCATGCCACTGCCTGGCACCCACCTCAGATCCAGGGCCTGCAGGAGGGCCCCACTGGTCGGGCTGAGCCTTGAGTCAGGGGCGTCAAACAGCAGCAGGCGTGAGTCACTCAGGGCAGCAAACACCCGCTGCCAGCCCCGCCGGACGCCCGAGGGCCGCGGCACCTGGTAGAAAGGCAAGCATGGGAGGACTGCAGAGGCCCTCAGCACCTCTGCACCCGCCTTCCCCTCCCTCGGCCCCCGCTCACCGACAGGAAGCCCTCATAGGCAGTCCCTGTGCCCGTTTCGGGGTGCACTCCCAGGGCTGTGCGGAGGAGGTCAGGGGGCACGGGGCAGGGCGGGGCCTGTGGGGCACAGGTTGCATGACAGAAGTAGCCGCAGGCTGTGGGGAAGGTGGAGAAGGCAGATGAGGTGAGGTTGGGAAAGGGCAGCCCCAAACCAAGACTGGAGCATGTCCAAAGCCAGCTTCCCTGAAGCCACGGTGGCACCCGAACTGTCCCCAATTCCTCATTAAGTGAGAAAAGGAACAAAGCTGAACAGTAGGAAATTTGACCAGCAGGTGCCCGTGACCCTGGGATAGGAGAAACAGCCTGGGTGTGCCAGGGCCACACACCTGGGGCAGTGGCTGGAGCATAGGGGGTGGGTGTGTGGTGGGGTGGGGACTCTCACCATCACAGCCCAGGCCCTGGCGGCCCAGGCCCAGCATCAGAGAGGTGCAGTGGAGACACTTGGTGGGGGATGGGAAGCTCCGGGAGCGCAGCGTGTGTGAGCCAGGCTGGGGAAGGGGATAGCCATTACCCAAGGCCTCCTAGGGCCCCGGGCCCCATCCCTGAGGGATCAGGTGAGATGAGGGGCTAAGCCAGGTGGTATTGACCGCTGAGCCCTGGCCAGTCTATGGCACCAGGCAAGCTCGTTGCCACCACCTCTGCCCCAATTGTGCCCACTGGTCACAATGCACGTGGAGGTGCCCATTCAGCCTGGCAGAACTGCTTGGTGGCCCCATCCCACTTGCCCCTCTGGGCACTGACCTTAGCAGGAAGACCTTCTGTAGGGGCCGTGTTGGCAGCAGGGGCTCTGAGGAACACAGCCTGCAGGAGGGCGGAGGAGCAGGTGAGAAGGTCAGTGGCAGCGCCCAGCCCCCCTACTAGGGACCCACCTGTCCTCACCCCCATGCGCAGGCTTCGTCGGCCCTCCGGCCTCAGCTCTGGCTCCCCTCTATGCCTTGGGGCCTCTCCTGAGATGCCAGGGTCCTTGGGAGAATCCTTCTGGGGAAAGAAGAAAGAGAAGCAAAGTCAAAGCCTCTGTGCCTCTCCCAGGACCCCAACCCGACCAGCCCCTTGGCCTGGTCCTTACCTCTGAGTTCCGGAAGGACAGGAAGGGAATCAGGGAGTTTGAGGGCTTGGTGTCTGCAAAGAGAGTGTGGGTCACTGGGCTGAGGTCCCCGGCCTGAGGAACCAGGGGCCAGGAGGGGCCTCAGTTCGCACCTTGGTAAAATGGGAAATGACCATGGGCAGCGGGCAGGGCTGGGCACAGCAGGCACCCGGGAAGTGCTGGTCACAGATGGTGGAGTAAGTGGCAGAGTCCAGGAACAGACTCCTGCCTCCACCACCCTGCCAGGCCATGATGGAGCCCCCTTGACAAGCGGGAGGGGTGCCTGGCTCTGGGGCAAGCAGTCAGTGGCCACTCACCCCCTGGCCCTCGGGCCCGCAGCTCCTCCCGCAGCATGGCCAGCTCCTGCTGCAGGGCCTGGCTCTGCTTCTCAGCCTCCTGCAGACGGCTGGGGAGAACGGCAAGGGCTCAACACCGGCCTCTGCTCAGGCCCCAGCCCCCTAAGCCTGCCCCTAGCCTCACCGCTCAGCTTGCAGCTGGGCCTCCTGCACCTGCGTCAGCCGCTCCTGCAGGCCCTGCTTGGCGCGGATCTCGGCCTCCAGTGCCGACTGCAGCTCCAGCCTGGCCGAGGCCTCCATCTTCTGCAGTCGCCGCGCCTTCCACTGGTGGTCCTGGTGGCCATTGGGCACCCGTATAAGATGCCTTCTAGGCCTGGCTGCTTCAGGGATGCCGTCTTACCAGAGCATGCCGCTACCCATGCCACCTGGCCATGCTCAAAGCTCCAGCTTGGCCACTGACCCACTGTGAGCTCACCGTCCCCATCTCCAGTAATGACCTTCAGCAGCAGGGACGCTGAGCTCATGGAAGGTCAGTGACTTGCCTGAGCTAGCCCCCAAGGGGGTCTCTGGGGCATACCAGTGGCCGGGCTGGGAGCGTCTGGGTGCCCACGTTCCTCAAGGATTCCAGCTCCTCCGCCATCTTGGTGGCCAGGGCCTGCAGGTAGCCTCTGGAGACCTTCTCATCGTTCACCCTGATTTGGAAGAGGCTCAGGGTCATGGGCTGGGCCCTCAGTCTCACCTGCATCCCCCTACCCACCCCGGCACCCACCAGCTGAGGATGTCGGCGAGCTGGGCCTCCCAGTTGCTCTCCGTCTCCCGCCGCTCGCCCTCCAGCCGCTGCTTGCTCTCCTGCTCCTGGGCCAGCTCTGCTTCTAGCTGGGGCCAGCCAGAAGGCAAGGTCAGCCCCAGGCCCCAGCCATCCTGGCACTGCCATCTCCCTCCAGGTACCCCTAGAACCCCAGCCCTGTCCACATCCACCCCGCTCGCTGGCTAGTTTGCCCACCTGCCCAGTGGCTCCCGCTGCCTTGTCTGTCTGTCGTGCCCTCCGTCCCCCTGCTCACCCGCTCCTGCTCCTGGCTTAGCCTCCGGTTCTCCTCCTGCAGTTGGCACAGAGCCTCCTCCTTACCACTCGGCCTGAGGAGGAGAAGGCCAAGGCTGTGACTCGCCACCCAGGCCGGGCCCGGCCTCTCCCTGCCACGCGCTGCCTGGCTCACCCGTGGCTGTGGGCCTGCTCCAGCTGCTCTCGCAGGGCGGCCACCTCCTTCCTCAGTTGGGCCTCCTGAGGCCCACCCTCCGGGGGTCCCATCCCGTTGGTCTCAGAGGCTGTGTGGACGGTCTTGGGGACATGGAGGAGGTCAGGGCAGAGATCCCAGATGCCATGGCCCACCCGCCCGGGGCACAGGCCTGGCCCTGAGGCCGAGTGGGGTCAGGCTGGTGGGGAAGTGCCTCTTGCCAAGGGGGTAGGACTTGGGTACCTTGACCTGGGAAGACTCCTCAAGGTGCTGCTCCCACTGTCCCTGAAGCTGCATCACCTGCCGGCTCAGGGAGGACACTTGGGCCTCCAGCTGTGAGGAGTGCAGAGGCAGGTCAGTGCCAACTCTGCTCTCAGCAGCCCTTCTGCCCACCTTACCATGGACTGCAGGCTCTGCCAGCCACAGTGGACATGAGAAGGCATGGACTCCCAGACTGCCCCATCCCAGGCGCCATCCCCCGGCCTAGCCTCTGCCAGCCACACTAGGGGCCACTGGGGCAGGACCCAGCTGCTGTCCCTGCCCACCCTGGTCACCTACCTCCCTCTGGGCAGCCCGGGCCTCCTCCAGCTGGGAGCTCAGGGCCTGGCTCTGGCTAGCTGTGGCCGCCTCTCTCTCCTGGGCCTCTTGCAGCCTCTGGAGCAGCTCCTCCTGCTGCCCCTGGGCCCTGCGGAGCTCCTGCCCCTGAGCCTGCAGCCCTGCCCGACCCTCGGCCAGCTCCTGAGGAGGCAGGGAGGGGTGCGGAGGACGAGGCCCAGGGTCAGGCATGGACCATCCACAGAGCCCAGGGCCAGTCACCCGCCTCACCCAGCCCTCACCTGGTGCAGCCGGTCAAGCTCCTGCTGTAGGTCACTGGCCTGGCCTGGGCTACCAGCCGGGGGCCCATCCATCTGAGACAAGGGAGGCTTATCCCTCAGCATCTCTGCCGGGAAGAGTCACTGAGACCTCGAGTACTGACGGCCCCAGCCTCTCACAGAAGCTTCCCCACAGCCCAGGAGCAAGTCTCTGGCCCGTCTTCCACATGCAGGCTGAGAAAGCATAAGATGCTCCCCAGGACCATACAGTGTATCGAGAGCAGGGGCAGAACCCAAGCCTGGGTGGGACTCAGCCCCAGTGGGGTGGGCAGAGGGAATACCTGACAGCCTCTCCCGTAGAGTCTGCACTTCCTTCCGGAGCTGCTCCAGCTCCCGACGGTCTGCAGGAGCATGCGGGGCCTCTGGAGGGGTGGTGGTACCCACAGGTGAGTACACTCCCGCAGCAGCAGCCTCCAGGGCCAGCACACCCAGCCCTGGCCCACTGCTCCCTGTACCTTGGCGCCTCCTGCTCAGCTCCACCTTCTCCTGCTCCAGACAGCGGAGCTTCCGCTCCATGGCAGCCCAGGCCTCAGAGCTGCTCTCAGGGCTGTGACTGCAGGGGGACATGGGGCCACACGTGTTGGCAGAAACCTAACGCCAGAGTCTCCTCCATCCCCCTACATCTAATCACTCATTCACCGCAAAACAGCCAGAACAGACCCTTTCTCGGGAGACCCCAGGCTGGTGCCATGGTTGGCAGCCCAGGGCAGCAGCTGCAGGGCACAGGCTCGAGGGTCCCCAGGTCCAGGTTTAAGCCCTTGTCCTGGCCCCTACAAGCTGTGTCACCTTGAACCTAACATGTTTTAGCCTCATTTTCCCCATGGGAAGATGGTGGTGACAAGGCCTCTCCCAAGGGCTATCCAGGGCAGGATGTGGTGATGCTGGCCCAGCTGGCTCCAAGGAGTGGGGGGTTGGACCCATTTCCTTCCACTTCAGAGCACACCGAACCAGGACCTCAGGCTGGCCCCTTGAGTGGGAGTAGGTGGAGATCATCCCACTCATTTGTTTATTGAGACAGAGTCTCGCTCTGTCGCCCAAGCTAGAGTGCAGTGGTGCAATCTCACCTCACTGCAACCTCTGCCTCCTGGGTTCAAGCGGTTCTCCTGCCTTAGCCTCCCGAGTAGCTGGGACCACAGGCGTGTGCTACCACACCTGGCTAATTTTTGTATTTTTAGTAGAGACGGGGTTTGACCATGTTGGCCAAGCTGCCCCTGACCTCAGGTGATCCACCTCCCTCAGCCTCCCAAAGTGCTGGGATTACAGGCATGAGCCACTGTGTCCTGCCCATCCCACCCATTTTACAGAGCCACAAAGTGAGGCCCAGGAGCAGTAGGGGCCTTTCAAACCCTAGGCCTCAGGCTCCAGGTACAGTACATCCTTGGCCTTCGTGGAAGGCACCGTGAGAGCCATGTGCTGGTATGGGGCCCAGCAGGACCTGGGTGTGGCTTCACCGGGACCCTGAGGATGAGGGCTAGACCACCTAGCACGGGCAGGCACTGGGGACCCCTTCTGGCCTCCTTCCCAGGGCCCCAGTGGGCTATGCCCCCAATGCGCTCCAGCCAGGTAACCCGAGCCTCCCACCAGGTGTGTGAGGACTAGCCCCACCTGCCCGACGTGTAGGTGAAGCCCACAAATGGCAAGTGGTGGCCGGAGAAGGCCCCGTGGGAGGGCGGCTGCAGGGTCCCCTGCAGAGGGAGAGGGAAGGAGAGAGTCAGAGTCCACAGGCCAAGGCCAAGGCCCAAGGCCCAGGAGCCCCCTGGGACCAGGCGCACTGACCTCCTCCTGCTCACAGCCCAACCCAAACAGACCCCCAGTGCCCACAAGTCTCCTAGGGGCTGCTGGGAGTTTTCTTCCTTATATGGATTCTAGTTAATAGGATGATGCCTTCGGTCAGAGGGCCTTCCCTTGATGCAACTCAACTCAGTGCAGGGGAGCATGGGGAGGCTGGTGGGACCCGTAACTCATGAGCCCCGGAGTCTGAAGGCCTCACCCCCAGCCCACCCCAGGGGACTTCAGAGGAAGGGTCCCCCCAGCTAACAAGGAATAGGGCAGCTCCCCTCCTGCAGCAGCCTTTGCCACTCACTGGATGGTTGAGGGTGTCGTCATCCACGTCAAAGTTGGAGGTATCCATAGGCCCCCGCAGCTCAGGGATGTAGGGGGCTGTGCTGCTCACCAGCCGCTCCCAGTCCACGCCTTCGAAGAAAGGATGGCTCCGGAAGTCATCCAGCCCGCCGCGGCCCAGCCGCTCTTCCTGGCGGCACAGCAGCTGGCGAATAAGGTCTTGGGCACTGGCTGGCACGTCAGGCACATCCAAGGGAAACTGCAAGTGGTCCTGGGGGTTGGGAGAGGGGGCAGGCTGGGTCAAGTGTCTAGGAATCCAGCCTCGCCTACAGGGATTTCCAACCACACAGACTTGGGAGTCCCACTGCCCTCCCTGGAAGCCCAGAGCCTGGCGTCCAGACCTCGTGGTTCATGATCTTGCCGTAGGTTTCCACCAGGGATTCGGCATAGAAGGGCGTCACCCCGAAGAGCAGCTCGTAGGCGCAGACTCCCAGCGACCACCAGTCACACTGTGGGCCATAGTGGCCCTTGCCCTCCTCCATGGCCTGCAGGATCTCAGGGGAGATATAGTCTGGCGTCCCCACTGCCACAGATGAATCCACCTGTGGGTGGTGATAGTGGTAAAGCCACGAGGACAGCTTCGGGCTTGGCTGGGGCTGCTGGCCCCTCACGATGGCCCTGGCACCCCTATTCCACCAGGTTGGCCTGCTGCTGCCCACCCAGGGCCTGGGCCTCCCCACCTTCCCTGGGGAGCCTGATGTCGCTGCACTAGGCCTGGGGCCTGCCATTCTCCTGAGAGTTCAGCCTGCCTGGTATCCCATGCTCCCACTCTGAGGCACGGTCCTTACCATGCCGTTGGTGTTGAGGCGCAGGCAGGAGCCGAAGTCAGCCAGGCGAATGTGCCCGTTCACATCTAGCAGGACATTGTCTGGCTTGACATCCCTGGGGGGTGGCAGGCAGGGAGAGTGAGGGGCTTGACCTGTGTGTCAGTGGCCATTGAGGCACACACCCAGGTGCACCTGCATGTTGTGTGCCAGCACCAGCCCACACTTACATTCCTGTGTGCACACGTGAGCAACGTGTGTGTGGGTATGTGGTCCCACAGGCCAGAAGGAGGAAGATGGCTAGATTGGAGAAGGGATGTGTGGGGAAACCCCTGGAGGAGGCTGGGTGTGCTGCGGGGGATGCAGGAGTGACTTCCCCAGTGCTGACCATGGCTTGACCACCCGTGAGCTGAGTCACCTTGAGCCAGATGTTGACCTGTACTAAGCTCTGACTCCCTCAACTGTAGGCTGGGGACAGTAGCAGCCCCTGCCACAGAGGGCTCTTTGGAAGATTCCAAGGAAGCATGTGGATGAGGCACCCAGCAAAGCATTTGGCACGTAGTGAGTGCTCAGCCAGCATCAGCTGTCCCCAGCGCAGTTGGCAGGGGCTGAGCAGGGCAGCGGGGTTGGGGCCCACCTGTGGACATAGCCCAGCTGGTGCAGCGAGTGGATAGCTAGCACCATCTCGGCCAGGTAGAACTGGGCCAGCTCGGGCGGCAGACGGTCCTCAAAGCGGCTCAGCAGTGTCAGGAGGTCCCCACCGGCATAGTAGTCCATCACAAGGTACTGCGGGTGGGGGACAAGAGTCAGACCTGGGGGAAGGGTGCACCGGCCACCTTGCCGTGGTCCCACAGGGCTGTGGGAAGGCAGGGCTGCGTCTCCCAGCAGCTCTGGGCTGGCCAGTTCCCAACCAGGGTTCAGGCAGGAGGCGCCAAGCCCAGGAGCTGGTGGGAAGTGGGAGTCTCTTGGTTCCAGGAACAGTCTCTCTTTGGGCCCAGTGCCCCTGGCCCCAGCCCCAAGTAGCTGTCCCCCTCCAGGCCCACCAAGTATCCTCACCAGATACTCCTCGTCTTGGAAGGCATAGTGCAGAGTGGTCACCCAATGGCTGTCCCCCTTTACGAGCACATCCCGTTCCTCCCGGAAACAGGCCGTCTGCAGCAGGTGTGTGGAAGTAAGAGGTAGGCTGGGATCAGAGACCAGGAGACGCCCTTGCCAGCTCAGGGGATGGAGAAACACTCTGTGAGTCTGGGAGCTCAGATCGAGGTCATAGCTCTGCTGTCCCCTGGCTGGCTACGACAGCCCAAGCACTTGCTGTATGGCTGAGCCTCAGCATGACCATGTGGGAAACGAGAATGACTCCGGTTGCTTTCAAAAGGGTTTATTAAGCCTGTAATCCCAGCAATTTGGGAGGCCGAGGTTGGCAGATCACTTGAGATCAGGAGTTGGAGACCAACCTGGCCAACAGGGTGAAACCCCGTCTTTACTAAAAATCCAAAAAAATTAGCTGGGCATCATGGCACACGCCTGTAATCCCAGCTACTAAGGAGGCTGAGGCATAAGAATCCCATGAACCTGGGAGGTGGAGGCTGCAGTGGGCGGAGATTGCACCACTGTACTCCAGCCTAAGCAACAGAGTGAGACCCTGTCTAAAAAAAAGGGTTTATTGTAGGCTGGGAGTGGTGGTTCACACCTGTAATTCCAGCACTTTGGGAGGCCGAGGCAGAATGATCACCTGAGGTCAGGAGTTCGAGACCAGCCCGTCCAATATGGCAAAACCTCATCTTTACTAAAAATACAAAAATTAGCTGGGTGTGGTGACAGATGCCTGTAATCCCAGCTACTCAGGAGGCTGAGGCAGGAGAATCACTGGAACTGGGAGGCAGAGGTTGCAGTGAGCCGAGATAGCACCACTGCACTCCAGCCTAGTTGACAAAGCAAAACTCCATCTAAAAAAAAAAAAAAAAAAAAAAAAAAAACAAAAAAAAAAAAAAAAAAAAAAAAAAAAAAAAAAAATTGGCTGGACACGGTGGCTCATACTTGTAATCCCAGCACTTTGGAAGGCTGAGGTGGGTGAATCACAAGATCAGGAGTTCAAGACCAGCCTGGCCAACTTAATGAAACCCCACATCTATTATAAATACAAAAATTAGCTAGGTGTGGTGGTACATCCCTGTAATCCCAGCTACTCGGGGGACTGAAGCAGGAGAATTGTTTGAACCCAGGAGGCAGACGTTGTAGTGAGCTGAGATGACACCATTGCACTCCAGCCTGGGCGACAGAGTGAGACTCCCTCTCAAAAAAAAAGGGTTTATTGTAAGAAAGACAAATCAGCGGCTGCTGAGGGTGGCATCCTTTGTCTGGTCTGCAGCCTTGCTTGCCCCCCATGCCCCATAGGCCCTGGCTGCAAACACCTCCCCTACACCCATTTGTAGGGTGCCCAAGGGTCCCCCCGACCCCACACTGACCTCAGCCCTCTTCAGCATCTCCCACTTGTGCAGCATTTTCATGGCAAAAACCTGCCCAGTGTCCCTCTGCCTCACCACGGCAACCTACAGGCACAGGGAGGAGTGGGGTGAGCCCAGCCTGGTGTGAACACCTCCTCCCCACCTGCCCCGCCCCTCTGCTCACCTCCCCAAAGGCTCCTCGGCCGATCACCTTCAAGATCTCAAAGTCATCTCTCTGCAGACGCAGTTCTTTCACCTTTGCTACGAAGGGGCTGGCTGAGGGGACACAGGGTGGGACTCAGAGTACGTGCAGGGCGGGCCCCAGTCCCCATCACCTTGGGCAAGCCAGGAACTGCCACTCCTGTGAGCCCTGCAGGGATGACCTCTCCAGAGACAGCCTCGGGCCAAAGGGTTGGCAGAAGCCGGTCCTCCTTTGGCCATGATCAAGAAGTGTGGAAGGTCAAAGGCTGGGCTCAGCTGACTGCCTGGTCCCCATACCTCCCTGGACCCCCTGTCCCAGACTAGGCAGCCTCCATCCCAGGGGCTGATGGGACCTGCAGTTCTGCCCAGCCTGGAGTCTGACTCTGCTTGGCCAGGTCACCCTGGGGACCATGGGGATACCACTCCTACCCTCAGCTCACAGTTCTTGGCCCCCTCACAGGGCCAGGCCAGGGCCTGTCTTAGGAAACTGGACAGGTGACATTCCTTATCCCCAGAGAGGCTTCTCTGCCATTCAGGAGCTATGGGCCTCTGTCCGGGGACCCTGTAGGCACAGAGGTGCCTGGCTGGGGGGTCAGGGCTGCAGCCCCTAGGGCAGGGAGGACAGACTCTATGCTCCCCACATGGGGCCCCTTGGTTGGAGGCATGGATGCCAGTTGGCCAAGGTGTGCACAAACAGGACCAAGATGCCTTTCTGGTGCCAGCAGTGGCCCCTGAGGGCGTGAGTGCGCAGGCTGCCTCCAGGCCTGACTGGCCCTCTCCCTCTGAGTTCTGCCTCCCTGTCCAGTTGAGGCCTTTGCCTGGCCAAGAACGTCCTTTCCTCAAATCCCAGACACCTCCAGGAGGGGCAACTCCAGCCACTCCCAGGCCCTTCCCAGGCCTGGAGTAGCCACAGGTTTTGGGAGAGAATTGGGTCTTAGGGAGGCAGGAGTGATCAGTCAGGATGGGGGGCAGCTGTGGTCTGGCACCTTGCCTCAGTTTCCCCCTGCCAGGAGGTAAACTCCCTGCCAGCTGGGCGGGTCTGCGGGTGGGACAGAGAGCTGCTCCACAGGTTTATCAGGCAGAAGCCCGCAGCGGGGGTGGGGTGGAAACTTCATTACAGAAATTCATTGTCTCTTTCCCAGGTCTGTGTGTGGAGCTGGGGAGGAGCAGCCCCGGGCCTCCCGGGGGGAGTCGAAGCCAGTGCCACAGGGACCCACCCGAAGCGCAGGCCCACAGGCAGGAGGATCCAGGCCCCTGGACAGGCTGCCCAATCCTCTTGCCTCCCACAGGGCATGGGGGCTCTGGGTAGGGGCAGGGACAAGTTGTGGCAGGAGAGGAATGAGTCACGGCCCTTTGAGTTACCTCGGGAGATGTCAACAGACAGCCCCCATACCGGGGTCCCAGGCAGAGGTGCCAGAGGCAGTCAGGGAGGAGCACCCATGTGTGTGCAAACACACACACGTGTGTGGGTGTCATAGGGGTGACAACAGCACAGGCACAAATGCATAGCACGATGGTGTCCCAGGGAGACAGGCACAGAGGCAGGGGCCTTCCGACTGCCTCGCCCTGGATGAAAGGGTTGGGGCTAGGGGACAACTCCCTGGCACATCTGGGTGGATGCCTCTCCCCTCCACCCCTGGCCTTGTGCCTGCCCAGAGCTCAGGAGCGCCAGGAACGCTAGTTGCCCACTGGGCAAACACCTGCCTCACCCCGCCCTTGCCAGGCCCCTGTGCCTTTTCCCTATGGCCCGGCAGGGTGTGACCAGGGAACCCTCCAGCTGGCGCCAGTGCCCACAGTGGGTTCAGGGTCACCCCAGGCCAGCCACTCCCAATGACTCAGATGAGTCTACCAGGAAAGGTACAGACCCACCTCCAGCCAGGCACCCCTCCCCGAGTGTGGCCAGTAGCCTGCACAAGTCGAGGGGTAGAGGTCGGTTCCTGAGTCCAGGCTGCAGTGGTCTTGTAGGCAGGGAGCTGGGGGGGGGGGTGTGTGTTGCCGGGGGCGGGGGATGTCCGCAAGTGTGCGGTACCTACAGATTTGTGTGTTTCGCAGAGCCAGTGCAGTCGGGGTGGTCTGGAGGGTTCCCTGGATCTCCCCGTGAGCTGTGTCTCAGTGCATCCGAGAGGAATGAGAGAGAACCCGTGTTTCAGTGGGCAACGTGCATGAAGGTCTGTGTGTGCCCCGTGCCAGGTGTGGCCTGTGAGCAAGGAATTCTGGACAGGACTCTAGTTGGTGCAATCGGTACATGAGTCTGGGGTGGATACCTGGGCACAAAATAGTGTGTTTGTGCCCCTGTCAGGGTCTGTGAGTGGGAAGGAGCGTGTGTGTGTGTGTGTGTGTGAGAACTGAAGTGAGGGTGAGGTGTGCAGGAGTGTGAGGGCCGCGGGGGTCCGGTGGTAAACCTCAGGGCCACTGCAGGGAGTCTGCGAGGGAAGCCCGTGGGGGTGCGGGTTCCTGCGGGGGAGTCTGCGAGTACCGGGGTCTCGGCGCGAGGTCCCTAGGCCCGCCCCCACTCCTTGCCGCCCCGCCACTCACCCCAGCTCAGGAACTGCGCCACGCTGCGCTCCCGCCGCAGGGGGCCGCTGTTGAGCTCGTGGTGCAGCGCCAGCAGCAGGTCTAGGAGGCCGTCGAGCCCCGGGCCGCCGCCGGCCTCGCCCAGCGCCAGCCGCTCCAGCGCGCGCAGCCGCCGCTCCATGGCTGCGGCCGGAGCCTGGCTCCCCTGCTAGAGTCCGGCCGCCCGCATGCCCGCCCGTCGGGCCGTCCGTCCGCCAGACCGTCTGCGGCTCTGTCAGCGCGTCCTCTCCCCGCTCTCCCGCCCTCCCCGCTGTCACCTTCCTCCGCCGCCGCCTCCGCGCCCTCACCTGGGCGCCGCGCCCCGCCCCCGACGGACAGGCAGGTGCGCGCCGGCCAATGGGAGCCTCGGCTCGAGGTGAAGGTAGTGGCGGAGGCGCGCGGGGCGGGCCCAACTCCGGGCCAGGAAGCGAGGGGGCGGGCCGCGGGGAGCAACTGACTTCTCTGCGGGGCGCGGGTACTGTCCCGCAGGGTCGGAAAGACCTCCCTGGTCCCCGCGCGGCCCCAGACCCAGCCGTACCTGGGCCCTGACCCCGGAGGCGCGAGGCACTGCAACTTCCCTTGCCCCCTGGGCCGCAGCCGCCTTGGCCTTGGCTAAAGGAGAGGGGCTAGGGACGCCCGCGGCCCCGGAGCCGGATGGGAATTGTAGTTCGCTCTCTCCCGGATTTGCCCAAGCTTGGCACCCATCGCCCACCCTCCCCCCAAAAAATGTTTCTGATCTCACTTTGATTTTATCATCAGAGCTGACGTGGGAGACAGGAAGGTGGGGCAGGGATGGTCACTCCCATTTGGCAGATGGGCACACTGAGGCTCTGGAAGAAGGAAGGGGAATTGAGGGGCTGAGGACAAGGTGGCTTCGAAGGTAGACCCTGGAGTGGAGGTGGAGCTGGGCTGGTACCAACACCGCAGACATTTTAAGCCTCGGTAGGAGCAGGGCCTGAAGTCCGACCTGGAACGTGAAGGACAAGGGGAGGTCTGAGATGGGCTGGAGGAGGTTGGGGAGGGGAGGGGCTGGCTCTGTCCAGGTATTTCTGATTTCTGTCCAGATGTGTCCAGCCGGGATGGACTAGGCGCCATGAGAGATTAAAGCGGGGGACATATCAGTGGCTTCAGACAACACTTTTTTTTTTGAGACAGGGTCTCTCTGTCACCCAGGCTGGAATGCAATGGCTCAATCATAGCTCACTGCAGCCTTGACCTCTTAGGCTCCTGCCTCAGCCTCCTGAGTAGCTGGGATTATAGGCATATGTCACCATACCCAGCTAATCTTTTACTTTACTTTTTGGAGAGATAGGGTCTTGTTATGTTGACCAGGCTGGTCAACATAACAAGACCTGGGCTCAAGCCATCCTCCCACCTTGGCCTCCCAGAGTTCTGGGTTTCCAGATGTGGGCAACTACACCCGGCCTGGACAACACTTTCTTTCTTTCTTTTCTGAGACAGGGTCTCCCTCTGTCCCCTAGGCTGGAGTGCAGTGGTGCAATCATGGCTCATCACAGCCTCAACCTCCTGGGCTGAAGTTATCATCCCACCTCAGCCTTCCAAGTAGCTGGGACTACAGGTCGACACCACCAGGCCAGGCTAATGTTTTTTGTTTTTTTTTTTTGAGTTGGACTCTTGCTCTGTCACCCAGGCCAGAGTGCAGTGGCATGATCTCAGCTCAGTGCAAACTAAGCCTCCCAAATTCAAACGATTCTTCTGCCTCAGCCTCCCAAGTAGCTAGTATTACAGGCATGTGCCACCACATCCAGCTAATTTTTATATTTTTAGTAAAGATGGTATTTTGCCATGTTCTCCAGGCTGGTCTCAAACTCCTAACCTCAGGTGATTCTTCTGCCTCGGCCTCTCAAAGTGCTGGGATTACAGATGTGAGCCACCACACCTGGCCACGTTTGTATTTTTTGTAGAGTTGGGGTTTCACCATGTTGCCTAAGCTGATCACAAACTCCTGGACTCAAGCAATCTGTGCCTCAGCCTCCCAAAGTGTTGGGGTTACAGGCTTGAGGCACTGGCCAACACATGATTTCATTAAAAGACCTGTTTGGGGGTTTGCCTCTCCTCTCGTCCTGGGATCTTCCTGAGATGGGGGCAGGATCAGGTTGAGGGAGGGGTGTTCCATGAATGTTATAGCAAACAGGGTGTTTCTCCCCACAAAGGGTCTCCCATGTGATTATTTATTTATTTATTTTAAAGAGACAGGATTGCGCTATGTTGCCACGTTGGCCAGGCTGGTCTCGAACGCCTAACCTCAGGTGATCCTTCTGCCTGGGCTTCTCAAAGTGCTGGGATTACAGGTGTGAGCCATCACGCCTAGTCTTTTTTTTGAGACAGATTTTTGCTGTGTCACCCAGGCTGGAGTGCAATGCTGTAATCTCAGCTCATTGCAGCCTCAACATACTGAGATCAAGTGATCCTCCCACCTCAGCCTCCCGAGTAGCTGGGACTGCAGGCCCATACCACGACACCTGATTAATTTTCAATTTTAATTTTTTTTTTTTTTTTTTAGAGCCAGGGTCTCACTATGTTGTCCAGTTCATCTCAGACTGGCCCTGCCTCCGATGTCATCTCCCTAGAGGCCCACTGTGTAGCTACACAGGGCTCATGGGCTGAGAAATGTTTGGGGAAACAAGGTTGGGGTGTGTTACCTAAATCAGCCAGGCTGGGATGGGGAGCCAGGATTCAAACCAAACTCTGGGGATTCCTTCCATTGCCTCCGGTCTCCTGGAAGGGAGGGGGCAGGAGTTCAGATCCCTCTCACATGAGGGATTCCTGGCCCTCATGAGGGCCGGGCAGGGGTGTAGCCCACAGGAGGTAGGAAGGGGCCTGCTCACTGAGGCCACACGGGGGCGCCAGAGACCAGAGGAGAGGTAGGCACCCCAGGCAGCATCAGGTTCCCGTTTGGGGAACTGGGGACAGGGAAGGGCTCCTGGGTGGGAAGCTGGGCCTCTCCTCTGCTGCCCCTTGTGGACAACCCTGGTGAGGCCTCTGGGCCCAGCCTCACTCCCTGTGTGACCTCAGGCAAGTCCCTTAACTTCTATGGTAAGTTCTCAGAAAGGTCCATCAGTGGCCATCACTCCATCCCCACTCAGTATAGCTGAGTGGATACTGCGTGCCAGGGCTGAGGCCAGGGCTGCTGGGGGCAAAGCTGGGACTGGCATTCAGCACCCCCTGCCTCTCACACGTGATTCTTTCTGGTCCTTTATTAGTTTTTGTCACATCTCTCTTTCAAGCCTCAATTTCCTTGTCTGTGAAAGGAGGTTGGGTCGGGGCATGGTGACTCTCACCTGTAATCCCAGCACTTTGGGAGGCCGAAGTGGGAGGATCACTTGAGCCCAGGAATTCAATACCAGCCTGGTCAACATGGCAAAATCCTGTCTCCACTAAAAATATAAAAAATAGCTAGGAATGGTAGCACACACCTGCAGTCCCAGCTACTCTGGAGGCTGAAACAGGAGAATCACTTGAACCTGGGAGACGGAGGTTGCAGTGAGCCGAGATTGTGCCACTGCACTCCAGCCTAGGTGACAGAGTGAGACCATGTCTTTCAAAATAAGTAAATAAAAATAAAGGGGGGGCCGGGCGCGGTGGCTCACGCCTGTAATCCCAGCACTTTGGAAGGCCGAGGCGGGTGGATCACGAGGTCAAGAGATCGAGACCATCCTGGTCAAAATGGTGAAACCCCGTCTCTACTAAAAATACAAAAAATTAGCTGAGCATGGTGGCGCGTGCCTAATCCCAGCTACTCAGGAGGCTAAGGCGGGAGAATTGCCTGAACCCAGGAGGTGGAGGTTGCGGTGAGCCGAGATTGCGCCATTGCACTCCAACCTGGGTAACAAGAGCGAAACTCCGACTCAAAAAAAATAAATAAATAATAAAATAAAATAAAATAAAAATAAAGGGGGAGGGTCGGGCCCCCCCAGCTCACAGGAAGTCTGTAAAGTCTCAGTCTCTTTCTGAGCTTATTCCAGCCTCAGCAAGCAGCCAGACCTCCAGCCTTGACAGTCCAAAGCAGCCCCGGGGCTTGGTGCCATGTTATCCCAGCAGATCTGTTTTCCGATCCCATGGGGCCAGACCACTAAGGCCCCAGCAGCCTCCACCCACTCCTCACAGAGCCCTGAGCACGGCACAGCCCGAGGCCCAGCTCACAGGGTGCTCCGGGGATGGATGCTCTTGGCAGGAGGAGACGCCCGAGAGCCTCAATCCCAGCTCTCCTTCTTCCCAAGGTACCTTCATTCAAATGCCTCCTCCACGCTGTACTACTCCCCACGTGCAGGAGGGCCCTGCCACGCCTGCAGCCTCCCACCCACCCCACAAGCCTCTTTGGTGCAGAGGGACATCACTAGCTCTCTCACCCAGCCCTGGGGGGAGCAGTCATGCTGATGACACCTTGCCAGTGTATGGGGCCTCTTGGTATCTCAAAGTGACTTTAGATCTATTATCTTCACAAGGGCCACGCCAGGAGAGAGTTATTAGCCCCCTTTACAGATTAATGCATGGAAGTCGGGGAGGGAGGTGGTGCCAGCCTTGAGCTCCTTCCTTGAGTCCAGACCTGCCCTGCAGAGGGCAGGTGTGTGGGGGCAGGGAGAGGTCCTGAGAACCCAGCACGAAGAAGTGGCAGGGAACCCCATGTCTGCCCCTACTGGTCATAGCCCTCTGGTGCTGGGAGTCCAGACACAAGGCAGGCTGCCGGGGTGTGTGGCAACTTGGCCACATCAGAGGGTTGCTAAGCCCAGGGCTGGAGCACCCTCTTCCCTAAGGTCCCGAGAATCAGCTCCAGGGAGAGGCCTAGGATGAGAGTCTCCAGCCCTGACCTCGGGAAGCAGCTCCACCAGATCGTTTGTCAGGTCTGGTGGGAATGGCGGTCACCCCCTGCCCTTGGCCACTCCAGAAACATGCAAGTGGCACAGTGCCCCACTCCCACCCAGGAGGTCAGGACAGGAGAGGCTGGCTGTGGGTCACGCAGCCCTGCCCGCCGCTGACCAGGCGTGGGGCCGTGGGCAAATCTCTTCCTTTCTCTCTGGATGTTGTCTTTTTGTGTATAAGGGACAGCTGCACCTGTTCAGGTGTGAGGGACAAATGAGCATCCCAGTATGGCCACCAATGGCCGTCCCAACCTTGCTCTGAAGGAGGAGGAGGGCGGCAGTGCGATTGGTGCTGGGAGCTCCCTGAGCCCGCCCTCCAGCCTCAGGTGCATGGCTCTGATTTGAAGGTGCATCTGTTGAGATGGCTTCGGAGA